TGGTGGTGGTGGTAGTGATGTGTGCCTTCAAGTCTTTTCCAGTTTATGGATTTTCTTGGCCAGTTTACTTCAGAGGGGGATCTCCATGGCCATCATCTGAGGATGAGAGAGTGTGCCATGCCCAGGTTCACCCAGTGGGGTTTCCATAACCAAGCTGGGATTTGAAACATGGGCTCCAGCATCTCAGTTCGGTGCTCAAACCACTATATCACGCTGTGTTGTGTGCCTTCAAGTCTTTTCCAACTAATGGCGACCCTAAGACAACCCTATCATGGGGATTTCTTGGCAAGTTTACTGGGGGAGGGGGTTGCCATTGGCCTCTGAGGAAGGCCTCCGAGGCTGAGAGTGTGTGACTTGCCCAAGGTCACCCAATGGGCTTTCCATGACTGAGCTGAGATTCGAACCCTGGTCTCTAGAGTTGCAGTCCAGTGCTCAAACAACTACAGTACACTATGCCGGCTCTCTACATAATAAACTGTAGTAGTAATAATACATTTTTTTTCCTGCATCCACATCTCCAGGATCTTATATCACTCCCTTTTAGGGCATGGATTTCCCACCCACCCCAAAAGGTTTGGGATTCCCTCTTATTTCCTTTGGCATCACTCTCCTCCACTACATTCCTATTTCATTGCCCCTCTTCTCCTTGTCTAGTCCCCCACTGGCCTTGGTCTCTGGGCTATGGAAGGGTCCAGTGACTTTCCTTGCACCCTTTCCCCCATTCTACATGCAGATGATCTCTTGCAACTGAGGTCCGAAACACACTGCAGAAATAATCCAGTTTGAGAGTACTTTAACTGACCTGGCTCAGTGCTTGGGAATCATGGGAATTGTAGTTTATTATGGCACCAGAGCTCTCTGATAGAGAAGGCTAAATGTCTCACAAAACTACAGTTCCTAGAATTGCCTAGCATTGAGCCAGGGCAGTTAAAGTAATCTCAAACTGGATTATTTTTGCAAAGTGTTTAGGATCTCAGCCCTTCCAGGGATGAGATTTAGTCATCTGCATCTCCTGTGTTTCTCCTTTCCCTGCTTGCTTGCTTGTTTGCCTCCCTTTGAAACACAGAGCCCCATTATTTGATTTCCTTCTAATTTTGTTGCTGAGGAGTGCAGACCACAACGAGAAGACAAAGGGCTGAAGTTTATTTTTTTCTGGCCCTGGGTGACTTCTTTGCCAGAGTTTGGGGCAAAGTTGTTGAGCTGGTGGTGGAATCGGGCTTCTTACTGGGAGACTTAGTTCTTTCTCTCTTGGCTTTTTATTGAGTGTGGTTTGTTGACTGTTTCGCAGAGAGGGGACAAGGCTTGGAAGCAGAGCTGCTGCTTTCCCTGCTGAAGGCTCCAGATCCAGGACTTGAGTTCAAGGAACGATCCCAGAAATAATGCAGCTTGACACCATTTTAAGCGCTGTAGCAACATCCTTTGGGTTGAGGTTTGTAGTCGTATGAGGTCTTGAGCCTTCTCTGCCAAAGAGTGCTTGTTGTTGTTGTGTGCCTTCCAGTTGTTTCTGACTTATGGCAATCTTAATGCAAACCTATCATGGAGTTTACTTGGTGTGTTTCTTCTAGGTTTTTTTTTTTTTTTTGCCATTCTCATTCTCTGAGGCTGAGAGAGTGTGACTTGCCCAAGGTCACCCAGTAGGTTTCTACGGCCAAGCTGAAATTCGAACCCTAGCCTCCCAGTGTCCTAGTCTCAATGCTCAAACCATTACACAACGTTGGCCTTTTATGAGTGCTAGTGCCTCACAAAACTACATATCCCAGGATCCTCTAGGATACATCCATGGCAGTTAAAGTGGTGTCAGACTGCATTATATGTACAGTGTGTAGAGGCACCCCAAGTGAGATGAGGAGGACTTTGGCCTTGAGGCGTTAGACAGCTGGACTGCACAGATTGGTGGTTATTTATTAATTAAAGTTATAGCCCACCTTTTGTGAGTTCTGCTCCTTCCCGCTTGGTCTTCACAACAGCTCTGCGAGGTAGGTCTGGCTGAGAGAGAATAACTGGCCAAAGGTCACACAGTGAGTTTTATGAGTCTGTGGGGATTTGAACCTGGATCTCTTGAGTTCCAGCCCAATGGAACTTACCACTGTATCAGACTCTGGTGTAGGGGTGCTTAGACTCGATCCCTCATCATCTTGTTGGCTGAAAGATATATTAGACTGGATGCAAAAGCTTTGGGGAACTGAGGATATGATTTTACAAAGGCATCCATCCCTTCACTCATCTTTTGTTTTGTTTTTTTGTTCCAAGTGAACTGGAACCAAGCGTGTGCGTGTTTAGAATTTCGCCTCCATTCATTGCTAAGCTTGAGTACCAGCCTTGGCAAAATATGCAATGTGCCTTTATCCTTGGTTCTAGTGAGAATCTGCTCAGCTGGCTTTGCTTGGAGTACACTGCGAAAACATTAGATGGCAAGCCCTATTCTGGCTTGGGCAGGAGGAATTCAATATTTGTCTTCCATCACGACAGCAACTTCTCCTTTTGCTATGGGAAAGGATTGCAAGTGAGGCCATGTAAGATTTCCTGCTCTCTTGTTGTGTCGTTGAGTACAACCTTGCATATACGACCACAACACTCAGTAACCCTGCCTATCTCCCCACAAATAGCTGTGTGAACAATGTGGCAATGGGGTTAGTGATGCCACAAGTTCTGGCTGTTGCAACCGTCTTCCCGGTGAAGCAGGTTTTGAGTTGGGTGGATGCCTGGACTGGGGAAAATGGCTATAGGATTTGTCCTGTGATCCCCAGAAGGAAGATTTGTAAATAAGAGGAAAGCTAGTGTGCTTTTTTGGTTGTTGGAGTGGACATAGGAGATCCAGATTTGAGTCTTTACTGAGCCTTGATATTCACTTGCTGATGGCGGGCCAGTTGCATTTCTCAGCCTGGCCTACATCACAGGGTTGTTGTGAGGACAAAAGGAGGCAGAAGCGAGCCACATACATTGTCTTGAACTTATTGGTGGAGAGGTGGGATATTTGCGTACTAATAAATTAACAAACAGCAGATCAGGACAAGGCTAATGAAATATTCTTAGTCTGCAGTAAATATTTTGTACATGTGTCCAGTGTAAATTGCCAATCCTTTGTCAATGGTTTGTTGTTGTTGCTGTTGTTGTGTGCATTCAAGTCGTTTCTGACTTATGGTGCCCCTAAGGTGAACCTACCATAGGGTTTTTTTGGCATATTTCATCAGAGGGGGGTTTGCCATTGCCATCTTCTGAGGCTGAGAGAGTGTGACTTGCCCAAGGTCACCCAGTGGGTTTCCATGACCAAGCCGGGATTTGAACCATGGTCTTCTGGTGTACTAGTCCAACACTCAAACCATTACACTACACTGGCTGTTATTGTCAATGGTGTAGCTAGGTAATTTTAGACTCTGCGTCTGATGGTCATATAGGTAGCTCCCTCTTAGTGATTCCCAAACTTTGGTCCTCCAGATGTTTTGGACTTTACGTCCCAGAATTTCTGACTTGGGCAAACTGGCTAGGGCTTCTGGGAACTGAAGTCCAAATTACTTGGAGGACCAAGGTTAGGGAACCATTGCAAGAAAGTAACGTCAACTGTATTACAGCGGGCCCTTGTTATCCACAGGGGTTGGTTCCAGGACTCCCCGTGGATGTAAAAATCCATGGATGCTCAGGTCTCATTAAATACAGTGGCATAGTATGGTGTCCCTTATATAAAATGGCGAAACCAAGGTTTGCTTTTGGGAATGTATTCTTTTTTAAAATCTTTTTAAGCCATGGATACCTGAATCCGTGGATGAAGAACCCGTGGATATGGAGAACCAACTGTACTATTTCAAAATGTGTTATGCAAACCTTGTGATCCTTGGGGACTTTCCTACTCATTCTGTTGAATGGGACCTGATCTTCTCCTTTACAGTCCTGCCCTGATGTGTTCTTGCTATATACCTGAGGTTGTACAAACAAGGAAATTGCTGAGCTCTCAGAAGGTTGCAGTATAAATTATGACTTGTGGGCTGAACATTGTTTTATGCTGATGAAGGAGAAGGAATATTTTTTCATTTATTTACTGAATTTGTATGCTGCCTTTCTCCCAATAATGGGACTCAAGGCAGCTTACAACAGAATTCAGAACAATACCAATTAAAAACTATACCCAAAAAAGCATAAATATAAAAGTTATTTAAAAGGCAGTGAAACCATTTATGGATGTAGATATTTCTTCTCCCAGTATTCAAAGCACATCATAGTCATTGTTTTATGAAAATTTATGACAGCCTTTGTGGCACTCATGCTCCCCATATTGCAAGTTGTGGGATCTCTGAGGCTTTTAAGGTGTGCTTCCAGCTGGGTTGGGCATGAACCCAGGGCATCCTGTCTCAGAGTTATTGGTTATTACCATGAATTACCTTTTATATTTGCATGGATGTCATGAAATAAAAAGAACACTTCTTTTATGGTTCAGTTCAGACAGATCTGTTTTCCTCATCCCCAGATATTTGGCCAGTCCTTCCTAAATGTATGTGCAATTTTCTGTTTCCAAAAACAATTCTAGTCCTTTCAGTTATGGAGTTGTAAGGAAAACCACATAGGCAGGACCCTGTTGCTCACTAAGAAGTAATACAATTAAATCAGTTTTTGATCCATTATACAATCTCTTGTTGCATTCTGATTGTTTTGCCACAATTCCTCAATTCTTCTTACTACAGATTTCTGGCTACAATCCTAAGTCACATCCAGAACCCATCACGTGCCAAAACACGTGAAGAAATCATGTCTGTGTTTTGGAGCTTGATCAGAGGCAGCTGTTTGTTTTGTTTTGCTTTGCTTTGTTTTGTTTTTTGAGGTTAAGCATATTGGGGACCTGAGTGAGATATCCTCTCATACTCTCATGTATGTTCCCTTTTCTTGCATCATGGAAGAAAAGTGGAAGAAGAAAGAAAGAAAGAAAGAAAGAAAGAAAGAAAGAAAGAAAGAAAGAAAGAAAGAAAGAAAGAAAGAAAGAAAAAAGTATGCTTTGAACATGTGCAGAATGCTTTTCTCTCAGCGTTGAGCCACTGCCACAGTTCCTATGCAGCAGGATTGGGGGGCAGACTATGGTTTCTTGGTGCTCTTAAAATTGAAACATTTGGGTTCCTCCCCACATACCCCAATCCCTTCAAGAAATAATGAAGGAACATCTCTGCACCATGAACACGTTGATTTGCCTGAAATAATATGGAGAGTTAATAGGGAAAAAGTGAGAGCCAATGATTTGTGGACAAAGTTGCAAAGGGAAGTTATAAGGTTGCTCCTTCTGAAATATTATCCCGAGAACCAATAAGCTGGTTTTTCTTATAAGGCTAACTTATTTCCACCTGCTCCCATGCCTTTACTAGTTCCTTCCTTGCATGTCCGGAGCTCAGCAAGTTGCTGGTTGTGGCTTGTACTGAATGAGGGAGAGAGCAGATTTTGGAAAAGATAGTTCTTTGGATTACAATTCTCAGAATCCCCCAGGAGTTCTTTGGAATTTAATCCAAAAAACGACCTTTCCTAAGCTCTGTGAAGGGACAAATGTTAGCTTATGCTAACTATCCTTGCCCATTGGGTAACAGGAGGTGTCAAAAATTATTGCAAACCTATCTGTTGAAACTGATTTCCTAAGCGGTGCAGTCTGGGCGTTTGTGATTCTTAAGACATGTCTCCTTCTTTTGGTCAGGAAATACTTAAGAAGCACATAATTTCTAAGGAAATTTTAGATTGTTCAAGGTGTTTCAGAGATATACAGCACCTTGACTGCAATAGCCCAGTGTTGTCTCCTCTTATAGGCTCTCTAGGACAGGAGTGGGAATCACCCTCCAAATGTTGGACTGCAAGTTCCAGCAAGCCGTAACCAGCATAGCTGGTGGTGATTAATGTTGGGCGTTGTATTCCACCAACATCTGGAGGACAACGTGATCACTATTGCCACTGTAGGATCTTGAACGGGGGATCTGCTGCCAGAGATCCATTCCCTTGCAGTGTGTACAGCCCTTCAGACATTATTAGACTCCAACACCCAGCAGCCTCAGCCCCTAGCCAATGTGAGGAATGATGAAAGATTCTGGGAGTTGCAATTCAATAGCATCTGGAGGGCTCCACAAGCCCCATATTGCCCTTGGGAATGGACGTTGTGTGTGCATAGTTAGCGTGATACCATCGAGTTATAGGCCATTTTATGTCTAGTTCATATCTTGGCATAAAAAAACGAAACTAAGAAAGAGGTGCTAAGAAAAGCTTATTATTTGCATTCTTTACTAGTACTATGGGTTCTGTTGCCAGGTTTTCAAAACACCAATAAAGGACACCTGAAATTCATGACAATCAGGCTTTACAACCAGGAGGTAGTTATTAGCGAGTTTGTGTTCTGATGAAACACCAAACTTAGCCATGTGTTTCTCTTTGAAATTACTACATTATCCACAACCATAAATTATATGATATGATTATATGATGCACACATTTCTGGCTTTATGAATAGCCCACACCCCAAAATATGGGCTGGGGAGCATCTTGCTTAGCCTGTTGGAAAAAAAAAAATAGACCACCGTCGTATAGACTTGCCTTATAATAAGAGACAACCAGGAGGGGCAAAGTTTCACACCTTCAAATATCCCTTATAATAAGAGATATTGGGCAACCCCAAATCTGGGATGACGGACAGACAAAGGGCATAATGTAGATCATGAACTTCCCACTGCTAGGAGGACTCTGTTTTGTTATGTGTGTATGAGAGAAAGAGAGAGAGAATAACTTTCAATGAGGATCTGTTTTAAAAAGCACATTTCATTGTGCTAAGTACAATTCCTCTTGTCTGTTTTTTGGGGTGTATATTTGTAACCATAAGGTCTAGACATGAGAGCCAGTGTGGTGTAGTGGTTTGAGTGTTGGATTATGACTTTGAAAGCCAGGGTTCAAATCCCAGCTCGTCCATGGAAACCCACAAAGTGACCTTAGGCAAGTCGCACTCTCTCAGCCTCAGAGGAGAGCAACAGCAAACCCCCTATGAAGCAACTTGCCAAGAAAACCCTGTGATAGGTTTGCCTTAGGTCACCGTAAGTTGGAAACAACTTGAAGGCCAACATTACACTCCTACACAAACAAGGGCTAGGCTAGACGCTTGCTTGTAAAAAAGGGAAAGTTGAGACGTTCAGGAAATCTACTGTAGGTTCTATCATTCTCTACCCTCTTCCCTCCAACTTGCAGTCCCGCAGAGAAGCATACGAATTCTTCTCCACGGCTGTCTCCTTCTCCGATATCTGGCTTTCAGTCTCTGCTCCTATACAAGTCCACAAGAGCCGTAAGAGAGAGAATTGTTCTTTTTCTTGCTGGTGTCAACCGAGGGCAAAGAGCATTGGGGAAAAACAGTGGAGCAATTATCGTTGTGTAAAGTGTTGAAGGGCGGTTGTAGAGGCTGAGTAATCCTTGGCCAACCCAGCTCAGGAGCTTTGAATTAGACTTACACACCTCGAAGAAAGAAACCCAAGGAGAGAACCAACAGGCCTGAAGGTGTTGTGGGTGTTTAATGAATCAGTATCCCCCAGGCTCCTGGATGAGTTTCTCTCTTCCCACTGCCAAGAATGGAGAAAGGTTGTAGGTTAGATTTGCAGATTTCTAATTCCTAAACCAAGGGGAGTTCTTTCTGTGTGTGTTTATTTGTGTCTGCAGCGCAATCCCTGCAGTGGTACCAAGGATTCTGGGATCCATGAGGATCTGTGAACCATTGTCCCACATGCACTGAACACAACACCCTGGAGCATGTTTGTAGACCATTTTCTGTCCTTGTCCAGGTAATTTTGGGCCAGGTTTGAAGCAGTCTGAAAACTGCTGGCTTAGAGGGTTACAATGGGATCCGATGGAGTGTAGTGGTTTGCGTGTTGGACTCTGGAGATCAGGGTTCAAATCCCGGCTCGGCCTTGTAAACCCACTGGGTGACCTTGGGCAAGTCACATGCTCTCAGCCTCAGAGGAAGGCAATGGCAAACTTCCTCTGGACAAATCTTGCCAAGAAAACCCTATGATCGGTTCATCTTAGGGTCACCATAAGTCAGAAAGGACTTGAAGGCACACAACAACCACAACAACAACTGCTAGCCAGCATGGTGTAGTGATCTGAGCATTGTACTACGACTCTGGATATCAGGATTCAGTTTTCCGCTCTGCCATGGAAACCTGCTGGCTGAACTTGGGCAGTCACACGTTCTCAGCCTCAGAGGAAGGCAATGGCAAACCTCCCCTGAACAAATCTTGTCAAGAAAATCCCATGATTGATTCGCTTTAGGGTCACCAACAAGTTGGAAACGACTTGAAGGCACACAAAAACAACAACAACAGAGAGTTACAACCTCTGTGTTGT